GAATCCCATCCCCTGTCCTCTTCTGAAGCTGAGCTCAAAACCCAAACAAAGCTTAATTATCTCTCCACTCTGAAGAAAGAAGAGATATATTAGCATCAAAGGTCAAGGGTCAACTAGCTAAAAACGAGGGACCACAATACCCGGTTCTTCCACAAGATTGCTAATTGCCGCAGGAGAGACAATACAATCTCAACCACCAGAGTTAACAACGTTTATCTTGAACAGCCGGCTGAGATTGAATCAGCAATCATCAACTTCTTCCAGAACCTTTACACTGCCCCTTCCGGACCTAGACCTTTGTTTAGAACGACCTTTCTTCGAAGAGGAAATTCTTATAGCTTTGGATGATCTGGTTAAAGATAAAGCTCTTGGGCCTGATGGGTTCCCTGTGGCCCCTTTTAAGACCTTTTGGGAAACTTTTCGATTGGATTTCTTAAATTTCTTCGTTGAGTTCTTTCAGAGGGGTATTCTCGACAAATCTATCAATGCTACGTTCATTGCTCTGGTTCCTAAGGTCGAAGGGGCTGAGGAACTTAAGGACTTCAGTCCCATAAGTTTGCTCAACTCTACTTATAAAATTCTCTCTAAGGTTCTGGCCTCTAGACTCCAACAAGTTCTTCCATCGGTAATCTCCCCCTCGCATTCGGCTTTTATTAAAAGTAGACAAATCCTTGATGGGGCATTGATAGCTAATGAATGCATTCATTCGAGACACTTGGCGAAAAAAACCTGGTCTCATTTTCAAAATTGACTGGGAAAAGGCCAATGACCATGTCAACTGGTCAGTTCTGAATGAGACTATGGTTCGTATGGGCTTTCGAGACCGGTGGCGAAAATGGATGACGGGGTGCTTTTCTCACCCTTGCTTCTCAATCCTTATCAATGGTACACCCAAAGGGTACTTCCAGTCTTCAAGAGGCCTGCGACAAGGGGACCCTCTGTCCCTTTTCCTTTTCGCTATTTCGGCTGAGGTCTTTAGCTGATCCATAGGTCGGATTTACCAAACTGGCCTACTCTCTGGCTTTACATCCTCAAGAAGAGGGCCCACTGTGTCGCATCTGCAATCTGCAGACGATACCTTGGTTTTCCTCGATGCCTCCCCCTCTAAGGTGGAAAATCTCGGAATTTACCTTAAATGTTTTCAGATGGGCACTGGTTTTAAAGTGAATATGGAGCAATAAAAAATGATGGGTATTGCTATCACCACCAACCTTATCAGAGACCTCATTCCGGAGTAGGAATGTAAAGTGGAGGACCTACCAACTTCTTACTTGGGCCTTCCCCTAAGCCTCGGAAAACCTAAAAAGAGAAACTGGTCCCATGCCATAGATAAGGTGGACATGTCATAGATAAGGTGGACAGAAGGTTGGCTGGTTGGAAAGGGAGGTACCTATCACAAGCAGGTAGAACCACTCTTATCAAAGCTACCCTAACCAATGCACACAGTATATATGATGTCGCTTTTCAAATGCTGGCCTCGGTGGCCAACCGCCTCGACCATCTCATGAGGAACTTCCTCTGGTCGGGACAAGCAGATAAAACTAAGTTTCATCTTATCTCCTGAGATAAGGTTCTATTACCCAAAAACCAAGGGGGGCTGGGAATTAGAAACTTGAGAAAACATAACCTCACTCTCTTAAGGAAATGGTGGTGGTGTTTGGCCACCCATTTTGAATCCGTTTGGGCTCAGGTACTACGGAATAAGTATAATATTCTAGTGCACTCTTGGATCCCAGAGACCAAACCTTGGTCTAAGGCTTCAGGGGTGTGGAGGTCCTTAACAGCCACACTCGAGCTTTTCAGGAAAAACATTAGGCTTTACCCAAAATTAGGCGCTAGAGTGCGATTCTGGACCGACCTATGGATAGGTCATGCCCCTTTAAGGGAATGCTATCCATCTATGTTCTCAATCGTGGTGAATAGAGAGGCTACTGTAGAGGATGAGTTTAGATTGGAAGAAGGAAGAAGACGATGGCAACCCTCTTTTAGAAGGAACCTTTCAGCGGGGGAATCCAATCAATTCCTCTCACTCTCGTCACTGCTCTACAAAACCTTTATCCCTATCCAGGGAAGGACAAGTTGGTGTGGTCCATGGTTCCCTATGGGGATTTCACGGTGGCTTCCTTCTACAAAAAGCTCATTCAAGCCCCTACTTTCCCTCTCAACCCAACCTCGATTCTTTCTCAGGTTTGACAAACAATTGCGCCTCCTAAGGTGGAAACCTTCAATTGGATCGCAGGTCCAAGCAAGGCTCTCACTGTGGATCACCTACAAAGGAAAGGTATCCTTATTCCTAATAGGTGCATCATGTGCTTGTGCCAAGAGGAATCAAATAACCATTTGTTCCTGCATTGTAATGTGGCCCATGGTTTATGGAGTCTACTTTTACAACTGTTCGGGGTGCAGTGGGTTCTACCTCCAACTGTTAAAGACCTCTTTGCTTTGAACTTGGCCACGCACTGACCGAAGGCGGGCAGAATACTATGGAAAGCAACAGTGGCAGCAACAATTTGGACCATTTGGAAAGAAGGGAATGCCCATATTTTTTATGGACAGGCTTATCCTAGCCCTTCACTCTTTTTTAAGGTTACATCCTTAGTAACCTTTTGGGCGTCTAACCATCTCTGGTTCCACGGTATCCCTAGGGACTCCTTCCTCTCGAATTGGGAGCTTATTCTCCTCCACAATCCGAAGAAAAACAAAGTTAAAGCTGCATGGAAACCCCCTCCCCAAGGAGCAATCAAATTAAATTTTGACAGCTGTTCTTTAGGCAACCCAGGCCACGAAGGGGCAGGAAGGGTTTTCAGAGACCACCTTCAAAACATTCTCTTCTCCTACTCCGAGTATCTCGGCATCTAAGACTCGCAGTTTGCTGAATCTATGGCCCTTCTTAGAGGCTTACAATGTTTTGATCGGTCTTGGGGACAGTCTGTTTCAGTGGAGGGTGACGCTAGAAACATTATCTCTTGGGCTTCCAAGACTGCGTCTCCTCCTTGGTATCTAGTGCCTATTTTTATGAGAATGAGGATCTTTGCAGGGATACGCCAATCTTATGGGCGCATATCTCGAGGACGTCAAACGGGTTCGCCGATCTGCTAGCCAAAGAAGGGGCCATGGCCCATACTGAAGAATAGGCACCACCGCAGTTCGTTTTGGGTCGGGCACCATGCACGCACTCTACTCGATCTACTCTTGGCTCGTTCTACTCGTTCTCCTCTCGGATGGGATCCATTTTTGCTCTACTCGTTTGTTCGTTTTTGGCTTCTTTTTTGTACATCTTCAGATTATTGTGTAAGGGGGTAATTTTATAACCCCATTTTGTATAGGGTCGGATGATCTATGCTTTTTTACCAGAAGTACAGGTTTTAAGGTACTCTTGGTTTAACCTTCATTTCTTGTATCTATCCTTTTAATCAATACAATTGTTAACAGTTATAAAAAAAAAGTATAGGAGAATGTTGAATACTTTTATTAATGAATTTGAGCGACTGATGATGTTGCTTCAATCTGCTCATTGGTGTCCTACCAAAGACGACACTCTCATATGGGACCTCACCAATTTGGGGGATTTTTCAGTGAAATCAATCTACATGATGCTTGATGAGCAACGCGGTAGAGTGGATGAGCCGAATTTGAATAATATGTGGAGGCTGCATATTCCGTTGAAAGTACAAGTCTTTCTTTGGATTGCTTGTCAAGAAAAGTTAGCTACAGTTGACAATCTTCATAAGAGAGGCTTTCTTATTGTGAATGTTTGCATTTCTGCAAAAATAATAATGAATTTGTTGGCCACTTATTTTTTCATTGTCCTTTTATTATTGATGCTATGGGGATCGGAGTAGGCAATTGATATATTTATTTACCCATCTTCATTCTATCTATCTTGGGTGTTCTTCCTCTCCAATGGAGTTCACCGGGCGTCCCAAAGCTTGATACTATACTTTAGAGATCTTTGTGGCCAAGCATCATGTGGAACGTATGGAAGGAGAGGAATAGAAGGATCTTTAAAGGTGTCTCTTTCGAAGCTACTACTCTAAAATCCAACATTTTGGTGTTGGCAGCTGAGTGGATGAAGATTCATAAATATGGAGGGTTGGTGTCTTTCGACCAAGTAATTCTTAACCTTTGGAGGAGTCTAAGATTTCAGTGGCTCCAATTAGAAGGCAAGCTATTTGGCATCCTCCACCGCCAAATTGTATTAAACTAAATTTCAATGGAAGTTCCTTTGGGAACCCAGGTTTGGCTGGTTTTGGTGGACTTATTAGAGATTCCCTTGGAAGGATCTTAACTACCCATTTAGATCCCTGTGGTGTGACCACTGTTAATGAGGCGGAGGCACAGGCAATGCTTCAAGGTGTTATGTTACTTTCAAGAATGGAGGGTCATAAAATTATCGAGGGAGATTCTGCAAACATCATTGCATGGAGTAAAGGAGAAGCTGTGCCTCCTTGGAGGCTACGGCCTCTACTGGACAAAATCAAAGTTTTGTTCTCATTTCTCGGTTGATATTTGTCATTGTTTTCGTGAGCATATGGAGGCATATTCACTTGCAAAAGGGGGTGTCCACCAACAATCTTTAGTGGTCACCGACCTTAGTTAAAAATCACCTTTTCTGTAGTATCTTTTGTCATGGTAAAGTTAAAAAAAAAAATACTAACAGAAGGGAAAAAACAAAGCATCCAATCAGTTTGCATGCACTATCTAAGTAGAACTTGATGTACACCACCACTATTCTGTATCTTTTTCTTCTTTCTTTTTTTGAGAGTGCAATGTCTCTTTTCTGATACAAGATTATTGATAAAAAATAAAGAAAAATAAAAGAAAAACTCAGAAAGCATTCAATCGACTTATTTCGGCATTCAAAGGATAGGAAGAAAGTTCAAACTGTATTTCATTCCTCATTCCAATAATGAAGAGACAAGTGCTTACTGAATATGATTCACAATGAAATAGTAATAAATCATCAACAGGCAAGAGAAAAATGAGGAAGAAGAACTTGCCATTAACAAGATGCTCGACATTCAGCTTAGTAGAAGTTTGTTTGTCTGGAAGCTGCAAGGAGACAAAAGATTGACTAAGGAGGTCACAAAGCATAAGCATGCATGTAATGCATATGCAAAGCAGCTCTACTACAGAAATTCAAAGTACCGAATGGTTAAAATTTTGAGCAGTTCAGGATTTCTTGGGCCCGTTGAGACAAATATGTGAAATTTATGAGACAGGGCCCACCATTACATTTAGCTTTATGCATCCCATAACATTCAAGAACCAAACCAGAGGAAAGATAAAAATTCTGGGGTAACCTACATGTGGAAACATCCCCCTCCAGAAGTGCACATAACATCATCCAACGCTTGATCTTTGTCTTATGTGTGTATTCCATCCAATTCAATTTTTTGTAATTTTAGAATTTTCTGGATCAGTCAAAACAAATTAGTGAATTTTCTGAGTCTGACAGCCCCTCTTATATATTTAACTTTTTCTGCGCCAGACATCCTTCATGTGAGTTTTGTGGCACAAGTTCCATGAAAGCAAGGTTGAAAAGACTCCCAAAGTTTGAATGTGTTTGTGCCACGGATGAGATAGATTTAAAAAATTATTACTGCACTATTTAGTACTTATCCGAATTTGTATACCTTCACAAAATTTGATAGAATAAAATAACAAAAACAAATTAACAGCTCCAAACAGCATAAAATTTTAAGAATCCCTCTTATCATTGGACTGTTTTCCAGAGCAAATCATGGATGACAATGCTCAAATGGCATGTGCAATTCCCAATCGGAAGATCCATATCACTGGTTGTCTACTATGAGGAAGCATCACAATTGTAGATATCGACAGAAATACGGAGAGGATATAATTGTTGAACTGAATCCTACATATCTAGATTTTCAGAACCATAAATAATAGTTAAAAACAATGGGAAAATTCCGGCAAACCTTGCAAGGACAGTTGGTGACCCCATTGGCATAGCTTTGACAACCAGTTCACCAGTATGCCCAGGGTCTCTTGAAGAAAGTTACAAACAGTCAACACTGCCGATTTTTTTCTCTTTTTGATGATCAACATTTGGTAAAGGATTTTAAGTAAGAGTTATAAGTGACTCCTTGTTTTCAAGAAGAGGGCGACAACTAGATCCTTGTCTAGCAGAAATCCAGCAGTGGAGTCAACTACAAGGCAATGTCCTCCAGAAAAGATGAGAATATAGGTTCAATGACTTTTGGATTGGGTGTTCAACTAACTGGCCTATACCTCTCCAACAGATAATAGAGTGCTATTCATACTGTCTACTGACGGTATGCTTCAAGGGTACAATAAATACATCAATATTAGTTTCCATTTTTATTAGGCGTGGTGGATAGCAATTCAATTTCCTACACCTGTCCCCTACCATGTAAATTGCCTACTTCACCAAGTGCCATTAATCTTGACAACATAAAATCTTGATCATTTTTTTCCGTGAAAGTTGGCATTATATAACATATTCTTACAAAATACAATGATATTTGGTCAAAGGCAGCCCACATGCCGGTTGCTCAGACAGTACAAACAGAAAAAAAGTACTCCCTTCGTGAAGGGAGAGAAAGCAGTGGACAATAGAGCGCAAGAAAAGCTATCTAAAACCCAGAGGTTGAGAAGCAAGATACTGGCTTTGTAAGAAACAGGTAGCAACCTGGGAGGCCGAGGAGAAGTGAATGAAGAAGAAGGGAGAAAAGGAAGGCAAGGAAGGTGAAAAGAGATTTAGATTGGTGAGGATAGATAACTTCCAGAACTGTTAAGCGCAAAGGCGATCACCATCTCATGATAAAAAACTTCAATGACCAGTTTAAACTGGCTAATTTTTAGATCTCCTGGTTTCCAAAATCCCATGCTCGATCAAACACAAGTTCCTAGACTTCCTAGAATTCCAAATAGGTTATCAAACATAACATTCATATGTTCCAGATATCAAAATATCCAGCTTCCAAAAGTTGAGAACTTCTACTTCCCAGATAACTTCTAGTTCCGAATTATCAAACAGACGCTGAATTATCAAACAGACCCTTATAGAGAAGAAGATATCCACTTATAGAGTAGAAGATAGCCACTAATAATGGTTGGCCAAAGAAGCGCATGCATCATAGGTAGGCCCTGTCACTTGGAGGAGTTCATACAAGCCTCTGTTGCATGACCACAAAACACCATTTGACAACCGGAATAAAAGTCAAGGATAGAGAAACCTTAACACATGTGACCATGCAAAAGTTTCTAACGACCCCTAGGATGGCAAAAGACAGGGTTAGAACCACCATTGAGCAAAATTCTTGGTTATTCCTTTCTCATCAACATGAGTGTTAGATTTTTAGGTAAGAAGTTGAAGTATCATTAAGGATGTTGAAGAGTGAATATACTTTATATTGATGCTCATTACCATCCGTAAATTTATTTTGTATTTGTTCCTTTTTTCTTTTCTTTTTTGACCAGATGATTAGTATCTCAGGCCATTACCCTTAAATCCCTTCATTTAGTTTTTGCCTAAATCGTAATCTCATATTTTTCTAGTGTATCAAACTATGGAAGTTTGGGCCTTTGCCTTGGTGTCACTAAGTAACTAAATTTCCGAAATGTTGTTTGCCAAATATCATAATCCTATTCAAGGAATAAATTCAATAAAACTGTAATAATGCTAAAAGGTATTTCCATGAACTTCTGATGGCAAACTATACTAATCAACAAACAAAAGAGCTTCAGAAATAAAAGATAAAAGATTAAGCTAACAATCAAAATTATTGTTATACTCTAGCAATCTGCTAAGAAACCCATAAGTATAGAAAATAAAAAAACACAGACGTTCATAAGACCTGCACTGAAACGCTTCCCAGGACATACAGCCTGTGGCTCTAAACTTTGCAGTATTTTTTACCTTGAAAACTAAAACCGACAGATGTTTATCATTCTAAACTTTGCTTCATCTTTGATCTTGAAACTAATCACTAGAAATATCTTACACCTCCACGAAAACATTCTCACCCCAACAAAGGCCATAACTAGCAGACAATATCCTATCAATAGGGTTTGGGCAAAATGAACTTTTTTGTATCAGGAATCCTAGAACAAACTAATGTTCGTCAATTAAATACAATAAAATGCACATGCGCATCTACGTCGATTCCACATGGCTAAGCCTTTTTGGAACCGAACTTTTCGACACAGCTTAGCCATTCATAAGCTAATCGGTATTTTCCTAAACCCATATGTTTATCTCTCTTTCTTCCTCTGAAAGAGAGATAAACATATGGGTTTAGGAAAATACCGTTTAGACAAAGATGATGATGGACGAAGTTTTTTTTGGGTAAATAAAAAGGAAAGGGAATGACAAGAAGCAAGCATACAGGAAAAAAGCAGTGAAGGAAAAATAAAAGCAAATGGGAATACAGTGTACAAACTAAAATTCGCTTGAAAAATCAGGTCATGGAACTTTACACTCGCATCATGAACCATTAAATGAGGCAATTCATCCTGTGCGTCATCCCTGTTTTTGAACACACGTTCCATTTTCACACTCGTGTCAATAACAAGAAAGGATGAAAAGAACAGAGAGAAATAGAGCATAGGAGTAGAAGAGCAATAGAGAAAAGAATACTTACTCTAGGAAGACTTCCTTGAGCCTAAAGAGATGACCGAGAGCTCTAATTGCAGGAAGATCCTCTTCAGAGACTGAAGGCATTGGAAGAAGCTATCAAGAAAGAGAAATACAAACCAATAACTCACAGGAGAGAGAGCAAGAGAGAAAGGGAAACAGAGAGAGAGAGAGAGAGAGAGAGAACGATTTTAGGGTTAGGGTTTCGGGAAGGCAGAGGCAAAAGTTGTCCTCCTCCCTCTCAGACCTCACTCCTCCATTTGAGAGCAGAGGTCGGTTCCCGGAATATTTTTTTTTTGTCCTTTTTTTCTCCATTTCGGGGGACAAACGGTTTCAACATGTGCTTTAATCATCACTGTCAATTGAGACAGTGGACGGTGATAATAGATGCTCCTGATTGAGTGGGTCCCTTCTTTTAGATTAACGTTGAGTTCTTTCATTCCACGGTGATAACATTGAGGACTATGGTTTTCTCATAGTAGGCCATGGAAATTGATCCAAGAAACCAGTGTTGCAAAAGTCGGCTCGGCGGTTAGACCGGCGATCCGATCCTATGACGCAATCGGGCGGTTAAGATCCCTAGCTATTCCCGAGTTTATAAAAAGTGTCAAGAATTTTAAAAATAAAATCTAGTATAATATGTTATCTATTTTGAAAAACACTATTATAAAGGTCAGCCGATCAAATTAAATTGAACATAAAAATATTTTATACCATCCAAAACTGGTTCTGTTCCTACCATTTCCCATCCAAATAGCAAATCCTGATTGGAGATCCCTGGGCCTCAACACATTGTTTCAAGGTTTAAAGATTAATGAGAAACAATGTCGAGCGTTAATTAATCAAAAAACGACCATGAAAATTATGTATTAAATAAATATTGTGAAAATCGAGCCATTTATGAAAATATAAAACCATGCAAACAAATATTGAATTTATTCAAAATATGGGAAAAAATCAACAAAAAATTCGTCTAAATTATTCACATAATATTTAAAAGAAGACCAACAAAATTAAAAGTAGTACCTACAAAAAGTAAAATCAATTGAAAATATGAGGCATATTTTCATAAATATAGAGAACCAAGCAAGAGAAAATTGAATTCATTAGAAATCAAGAAACAAATCAACAAAAAAAAGTTATCTTAATCAATCATAATACGAATCTAGTGAACAAAACCTAAAACATTTGAACATAAAATTTATTTATTTAGAATAAAATAAATTTCTTAAAAAACATGAGTCATTTTTTCAAACAATTAGTAAAGTTAAAAAATATCAAAAATTAGAGAAAAACAATCGAAATTCATCCTATCACACTCTAGAACAAAAAGCTCAAAAGATTTCAATATAATAATTTAACAATTTATGATTTTTAAAAATTTGAGTCATTCTTTAAAAATTAGAAAATCGATAAAAAAAACTCGATTCCATCAAAAACTAGGGAAATGATCAACTTAAAATTTATTTAAATCCTAAAAATTAAATACTACCTAAAAAAAACTAACATAATATTTACAATTAAGATTTGACTGTTTTCAAAATTTTCAGAAAAAACCTAAATTGAGACACAATAAATAGATAAATATAAATATTATTAAAAATTATCTACTTCATATCTAATACAATACATACTAAAAAAAAAAAAATACAATAACTATGTTTACAACGTGAATCATGAATATTTCAAGCAGAAATCCCCTTGATTTGTCACTATAAAATAGACTAATTAAAATAATGATAAGGATTCATGGGGCATGATGGAATTATGATCTAAGGGCTAATCAACCTAAATAGGCCAATTTTCCTTTAGATCGGTAGTAGTGCCAACTTAATCTCCTTGCCCCAAAAAAAGAAAAAATAAAGCTACTACAACATAAACTCTAAAATAAAAATAATTGGAATTAAAAGGAAAAGAAAAAGTAGAACTTACTAACCAAAGGCCAATTGGCCCAAGACAACCGAACCCGAGGTTGTGACCAGTATCAAGGACAACTGAACCCAAGGTTGTCACCATATCAAGAATCAGGTTATTTACATATTTTACCTTCCCTTCTTCTCTTTAAATTTGATTGGTTCTCTTCTTCTCTTTAAATTTGATTGAATTTTATCTAGACTGCAGGTTGTTATTTACATATTTTTCCTTCTCTTCTTCTCTTCTTCTCTTTAAATTTGATTGAATTTTAACAATGAAATTGGCTGGAAATTTCATGATGAAATGTTGGAAAAGAAGTTAATTTTATTAGGACTTAGTAGCCTAGATCAGGTTACAGATAATTTTGAGGGATAAAGGATTAGTGTTAAGGTTTTAGATCTTCAAAACTAAGGTTTGTCTTGGGATTTGGGTGGTTACCGATGATTTTGAAGGATAAAGGATTTGGGTTAAGGTTTTAGATCTTCGAAACTAAGGTTTGTCTTTGGATTTGGGTTTAGCAAACTAGGGTTTTCGATCTAAATCGATTAGGGCTTTCTCTCTTTCGATCAACCAAACTTGATTCCCATATTTTCAATTTTTAAATTTGCATTTCTTAACTTTTTCAATTGGGCCACCAATGAACTTTTTTCAATTAGTCTACCAATGAGCTATGTTGACACGTGGCCTTGAAATTTCCCCCATTGGTGAACTTGACAAACCGCTTGAAATTTCCTCATTGGCGAACTTGACAAAAATTTCCCCATTGGTGAAATTGGTGAACTTGACAAACCGCTTGAAATTTCCCCATTAGTAAACTTGACAAAAAATTTCCCCATTGGTGAACTTGACAAACCGAAAACGTGGCGCTTAATTTTTCTCATAGCAATTTTTATATGCTAAAAAGTAGAACTTAGAAAATAAAATGTATTTTTATATCCCCACATATATTTATTTTGAATTAAAAATTCATATGGCAAAAAAAACAATATATAATGGTGTTGAAAATTTTATTTTTTTGCTTCATTATTTTTCTAAAACATAAACAAGTATTTTTAGAATAAGATTCGATCCATTGGGTTAGGAGCATGCAAATAACTAAGGCACTCCACCTATGCTAAAAACCTATGACCCTCAAACTATCTTCTCAAACCAACCAAATACAAACCATGTCCCACAGTCAATCGCATGAACTCATGATTGGTTCAACAAAGTTGGCCAATATATAGTGGAAACATGAATTTAGCGTGTAGATTACATGTTTCCCACTAAGGACATGTCCTATTCACATGGAGGAGTGCACATTATCATAATACTACAGGGGATCCTGTCTTGGACACATGTATATGTGCTACTTTAAGTTTGCTTTCCATAATTCGGCTATCATGTGTATATGCTTTATAATGGATGTCGAAGAATTGATCATCGCCGTCGCAAGCCACCAACATCACATAGGATACCACCTACTCTTGGCTAAAATCAACATATGCATCTATATAACATCAACAATGGATTACCCTGCAAATCCTATATGTCTAGGGCTAAAGGCTTTTAGGCTTATTGTCCGGGCCTAGACTACCCAACCCATGTGAGTCAACTAACAAAACAGAAATACCATATGAGTGTTATATGGACTACATCCCACTGGAGTATGTATCTGCTTTAATAATGAGTTTTACATGCTCTCAAGGCTTTTGATTGCCGAAAAGCCCAAATGCTCGGCGCTCGACCGATCAGTTTGATGATGTGAAACTGTACAAGAAAACTGACCCCTGACTGAACCCTCTCTTATACCACTTATCAAATTTTCGAGCTTTAATACGACTTGTTCGAATGTTTTGGGCTATGATACCACTTGTTGGATTTCTTGAAGGGCAATCAAACCCTACACTACATTAGAGAGAGAAACACAAATAACATTTTATTAAGGCATTTATTCTAATTTGTTATAATCATTATACAATCCTTGCCTTCATTAAATACATTACTCATTACCCTCCTTAATAACATTTACTCATTATATTATTGATTATACGCTCTCTCACCACTTCCATATACATCATCCCCAAGACTCTTTTATTACTTTCTCACTCGATGCCCATCACAGTGTTGGGTGAGTGTGGCCATTAGAGGCCATATGAGTACTTGTCATAAACATTTTGATATAATGAAACATGAACTCAGTAGGAGTGTGGTCTTGTATGGATCATACTAAGTAAATAATGTTTACCGATAACGGATTGAGCTTGACGAACTAGACCAGTCGGTTGGAAAAAACCTATGTTACTTAGGCATAAAAAACTATCTAATAAGGGTTCTAATAAGTCATCATTTGATGAGGTCAGAGTATGCCTAAATGGGTGAGCCGAGGGACTGTGTGACCCTTATATGTGCTGATGGCCTTTAGAGACGGGGGCCAAATCCTCATCCGTGAGCCATTACACGATATGCATATATGATAGTCGTTTCGTGAAAGCGAGCCATCTTTCGGGGTGAAGCTTATGTATATGCAAGATATACCCCTATGCGCCATAGGAGCTGTGGTCGCATCAAGTCTAGGTGACTTTGGTATGTCTCTAGGGAAAAACCTGAAATCCACAAATTGAGATTACGACCCCTTGGCTCATCGGCCAGGCTTTGATGACCCACTAATGAGCCCCTACATAGACTGTGGGTCATGAAAATACTTAATCGATTAAATGTGGACCATAGTCTACAGTTGAAGGGGGAGTGCCCAACGTTTATTTATTTAATTCTTAGACCATATGGATCATTTTCCCATCTAATGAATTTAATTATGCTTTTTTTAATGTATATAATTTTTAGAATTATTATTTGAATTTTTCTAGACATCTGGATATTTTATTTATCAAATTTGGATTTATAAAAACAAAGATATTGATTTTAGATTGATTTAATTATTCACATTGGATTTTATGAATTTTTAAAAATCATATAATTTTTAATTTATTTATTTTTTCATGAGAGGCCAAATATGCATATGGGCCCACCATTGCAATATGGGTGGGGCCCATGAGTGCCACGTAAGGTGGCACGCCCCACTCTAAGGAGCTTTCCAATTTTTTGGATCAAGCTTTGACATAAAGAAAAAGGTTTGTGATGTTTTGGAAAGCCTTTGTCTTGAGGTAACTTTGAATGGATTTTTGAAAAGCATGAGAAGGCTTGTGCATTATTTTGGTTTGCACAATATTTTATTTAATTTCTATTGATAGGAAAATAGTTTAAGAAAGGGGGATAAGGGTCTAGCACATTCCATGATGATGATGACCCATCTATGGAATGAGGGTTCAAATCTCTCACCCTATAAGTCACCCAAGATGAATGGTTCATATTCAATCTCTCAAG